AGATTTAGGTTGGATATTAGGAAAAAATTTTGTACCACAAGAGTTGTAGAACACTGGAACAGGTTGCCCAGAGAGGTGGTGGATGCTCCATCCCTGGAGACGTTCAAGGCCTGGTTGGACGAGGCCCTGAGCAACCTGATCTAGTTGGAGATATCCCTGTTCCTTGCAGGGGGGTTGGACTAGATGACCTTTGAAGGTCCCTTCCAGCCCTAACGATTCTATGACTCATAGCAGCCTTCCAGTACTTAAAGGAGGCCTACAGGAAAGCTGGAGAGAGGCTTTTTACAAGGGCATGTAGTGATAGGACAAGGGGCAATGGCTTTAAACTGAAAAAGTCGAGATTTAGATTAGATATAAGGAAGAAATTTTTTACAATGAGGGTAGTGAAGCACTGGAATAGGTTTCCCAAAGGAATTGTGGCTGCCCCATCCCTGGAAGTGTTCAAGGCCAGGCTGGATGAGGCTTTGAGCAACCTGGTGTAGTGGAGGGTGTCCCTGCCCATGGCAGGGGGGTTGGAACTGGATGATCTTTGAGGTTCCTTCTAATCCAAACCATTCTATGATTCTATATAGGACCCTAATACTGAAATCCTCCAGGTACTTAATGTATGGGATACTTGGGCTTTTTGTCATAAGTAGTTGAACAACCTGCGTGGATTTACAGAGATCTGTGCATTTAAGTACATGGAAACAAGAAGATAGCTTGAGAAGTTAAATCAGAGCAGGTTTTCTAGGCTAAGTAACTTTACAATAAAGCACCATGTTCTGTTCTCAGCTGGGCAATATACAAGCAGAGGGAGGCTGCAAGTTTTAATTGGGTTACTGCAGAAAATCTAGGAGCTGGTTTGATTGAATTATTGAAAATAAATAGAAGACTTTAGAAGTTATCTTCCCAACAAATTGAATTTTTCAGCCTTGAAATTTGTTTTTTCCTCTTACAGCTTGGCATTTAGGGTAAATGAACTCAGCACCATACAACAGTTTACACAGTTGCAAATAGGTAAATACAGGTATCTTATGGTCTTTTGAGTATCTCAAAGTGATATTTGATGGGAATGTTTCAGTGACAAGGTTTGTTCTTGTTTTAAAATGTGGTCGTTTGCTGATGATGTATTTGAAGAATGGAGATAGTGAATGAACATGAAATTTGTACTGGTGACCTCTGTGAAAGACAGTTATCATGCCACTGTGAGTAAAATTATTTTTTGTTCAGGAGTCCTGCACAAAGTCATTGTATTATTTGAATCCCAGGTTTTCCATCAAAGCATAACTTTAAGGGATTTAAGGGATTCGTAGGCCTTCTGCTGGCCCTCAGTCCAACATTTTGAGGACAAAGACGTAAATTGGAACTTACAATAGTAGCTTTGCTGTGGGTTTTGTTTTTTTTTTTAAATATTTAAAGGGGGCTGTTTCTCATTCTCACCCAATTTTTGTTTTTGGAATTAATTCATTGAATTGAAAAAAGCTGGGAAATACCTGGTAGTTTGTGTTGTTTTGCCCAGTGTATTATCCCAAGCCAGATTTTCTACAGTAAATTATTGATTGCTGCATCTGGTCTGGCTTTGGAATGTTTCAAACAACGAGACTTTTATCATTCTTGTGGGGCTACTATTTCATCTAACAGATTTCACTGACAGGAAGTTTTTCCTGATAATCCTGGTAGCTCTCTTCTCTGGCTTTGCGATAAGTGACTCCATTACTCTTTGAAATATGTGGGTGATCAGTGGACATTTTCAAAAGATTCCTTTCTAAATTGGAAGAACAAGAGAATTTTAAACAATATAGACGATAGATAGCAGGAGAGAAAAAAAAATATCGAGCTGGATATACTTTCTGATAGAAATGTGGTTCTGAAGTCTGCAACATACTTTTTGGTGACACATAATTATGATAGATACTACTCTTGAGAGACTCAGATTTACTTTTCGAGAGACCTGAGCTGGCTTGTTATTTCATTGTTAAGGTACTGACAGTGGAATTTCTAAAAAGTAAGGCTGAAAAAGTGTCTGCAGAGTGAATCTGTGAATCTTTCCATCATTTCAGCCTCCTCCTTCTGCTACTTTTTTGTGTGTTTGTAGCCTCTGTTTTGGACTTTTGTCACCTATTGTAAAGGCCAGTGTTGTACATCTGAGTCTTGGCAGGTTGAGAACTATGACTGAATAATAAGTCAAGTATCACTTAGGCGGAGTGATCCTCTTGCTGGCTTGAATGTGATCCTTCCTCCTTCCCCTTCTCATTCAAAAGTAAGGACAGAAATGTTGGAATTCAGAACACTGTCAAAGGAATACATCTGTGATATTTCTCTGCAATTTGTAGTCTCTTTAGATTTAGAACAATCTATGTGTGTTGTTTTTAATAATATTTTTCAAGATCGTGACTGTTACTGCTTCAAGAGAGCCAGTTACGTGATCCGTGCATTGAGAAACTACAGGTGTCAGTAGTTACTTTGGGCATCTGAAGGTGGATCTTACTGGCCCTGAGAGACTGCTTGAGGCTAGCAATGCAATGTTTGGTTCAAGTCCCACCCTTCAGTTTATGTGGCTAGCCTCATGATGCACGTGGCTGCATAGCCGATACTCTGTCCGCAGTGTGCCTTTTGCAACTGCTTTGGGTTGCTTAAACTTTTTTCTCTTATTTCTGACTTTTTCTTCACTTGCAGTCATGAATCTATTATCACATTGCAGTTGTGAATGTTTCATCAAATGTAATGTTTAATGTTCTATAACCCAATAAGTCTGCAATGGTCTTAACCAGAAAGAAGTTTCTGACAGCAGTTTGTGATGGATCTCTTAGGAAAAGTGATGGTGCTTCTAGCTGCAGTCTAGGGTTGGTAAATGGCACATAAATACTATGAATGCACTTGATTTCTTATTAGCTCATTTAATTTGTCTAGCTTTTTAACTGTGACAATAGCTCAGCTGTCCAGCAAATATATAACCTAATAAAATAAGTTTGTCAGCTTGTGTACTGTCTAATTATAACTGCCCATCTATGGCATAGGTCATAGGTCTTTTCATGCTAAAAGTGATACTGTTTTATTTGGAGAATAAAGAGTAAACATAGAATACACAGTAAACGTATCTTCGAGTAGTGGGTGACCATTTTACCTGTCAAGAATTTAAAAGAGGGTTTCCTGTGTCATACTGCTTTGTTTCCATGACTTGAAAAAGAGAGTGGGTAGGAAGAAGAGATTGCCCATATGCACTGCTGTTTCCAAATATTGTTTTAGGAAAGTACTTGCTAAAAAAGCAGGGAGAAGCCACATGTCATATCAAGAGACCTAGGATTTAGGAATTATTCAGAGGATCCATCTGTGGGCTGAGCATTAAAATCTGTGATTGCTCTGGTCTGGTGCAATTTACTTTCTGTGAACCTTGACACTTCCAAGTGTGAACTTCAGGTTATGGCCATACTGCCAGCCTTTTCTATATGTCATGGAAACTGCAGCACAGAGCTGTCTCTGGGGATTAATAACTCTTTGGTGGTTGGCTTAATGTGGTAACCCCAAGGGCATCATTAAAACTCTCCACAAGAATTACTTCAATGCCTGTAACGTATAATTATGCTTTAGAAATGCACTGCAGTGTTTCTTATTGTTACAAAGTAGATTTTTCAAACTAAACCCAAGACACTCTGTTAAATGAGCATTTATTTTTTGTTAGGAACATATGGCGTGAAGTTCATTTGAATTGATTGTCCTATAGCTGCTCTGTATTTGATAATGGGACTTTTAAAATAAAAAGTCCTTCATTTTTATTTTGGCAATGATTAGTATATTTTTTGCCGTGGGTTCAGAAATCCATACTTCCATGCACATACTTGTCCTGATCTTTAATCAGCTCTTAGATCATTCTGTAGTGTTGAAATTTCATTTAATGATCACCTCACTGTATCCTGATTCTGCTGACTGCTCCGTACCCCATGGACCTGGCTAGCAGGACAGTCAGAAGCACTAATAGTAGTCTTAGCTTTGCTCTTGTTGTCCAAAGAGTTGTTAAAGGTCTCAAAGATGTCACAAGCTATCATTGAAAGACTCAGTTCTGTTTCTGAATACTTCCCTATTCTCAATGAGTGCCCAATTAGCCACTATTGATGTATGAAGTAAACACAAGAGAAGTTATTCCAATCTTCTGTCAATGCACTGGCAAAACATTTCTCCAGTTTGTCTTTCAAGGCCAAAGGAATCCCCTAAGGGAACAAACCCTGCTTGAACATTTGTATTTAATCGTTAATCTCAGGGCCTAAACTTCTGGCAATCCAGTATCACTGGTGTACTGTTGATTGTTAGTCTGATAATAAAAAATAAATAAAAAAAGTATTTACTCACAAAATTTTCTCGTCTAGTCAGATATAGGGAGGAAATCAAATCGGTAATAAACTAATTCAAGAGCATACTATAGATGTTAAAGCTGCAGTGTCTAAAGAAATCCGCTCAAATGAGCTGTTTTACTAACTAAAGATACAGGGGCTATGGTGTAGGACCTGTCAGTGCGTTTCATCACATAGTCCTGGACTAGTGGAGACTCTGGCAGTGGTGCCCATGGCCACTCAAGAGGTCTGTCAGTGGCCCTAGGCAGACTCACGGCTAGTATCAGTATCAGCCATTTTGTGCAGCATTCAGAGGGCATTTAAGCCAAGTTTTTAAAAAAAACCTAAGATTTAACCTTACTTACTGTCTTGTTTTTTTTGATATTTTCAACTCTCGGGTTATTTTATCAAGTTTTCTGTGTATTGCCTATGCTTTTGAGACAATGAATTCTTCAGTATGGAGGAACAGCTGATACCCTGTGCGTTTGAAGTTCAAACTACATATTTGGTTTTAAGATTGCAAAATATATGTATATAACGCACATGGAAGCTCTGAGCATGAGGGTAAAAGTGAATATGTGAAATAAGTCAATATTAGATTCAGTGAAATTCCCGTTTTTCTTTTTCTTGGATAATGCATTACGTTATCTGATCTGGTGTGATTCTCCTTCCAGAGGAAGAGGGGAAAACAATTCAAGAAAGTAAAGTGGACTCCCTAAGCAAAACATTTTCTACTACTGAATTATCAAACAGAAATAAACAGGATGGCTCACCTGGAAGAAGCAAAGAAACGTGGGTGTCTCTCCCACCGCAGATGCCAAATGAGAATGAGGTAACGAGTTGACATTTGTCCACGTGGACAAGCATTACATTCAAAGAGATGAAAAAATGGGGAGATACACTGTCCAAATGTTAGGGGCTAGTGGTATTTATCCCATCTGAGGCAAATATTTAAAATACTACCTAAGTGTGTGATGCTCGCAGAGGCACCTGCGGGGATCATGTTTGGCAGTGGCATTTGCTCTGCTGAAGAGCTGCCATAATCTGACTAATAAATACGGCGCCCTGCAAGGACCTTTGTAATGCTTTCACTGGAGACTGCAGTTAACAGTAGAGGTTGGCAAGAAGGAAAAAGTCTTGAGAGTGTGGATGCCAGCGTGCACAGATTTATTTTGTTTCTCGGGGATTTTAGCAAGTACTGAGTTGTGTGTTACTGCAGCTAGATTGCTTCAGCTACCTAAAGTGAACAGTAGGCAGGCCAGAGGCATTTTTAATCTTCTGAAACATATGAGATTAGGGATTTAGTATGTAGGGACAGGAAAACAACAGACATCATCTGGAGAGAGCGAGATGGAAATCAGAGTTCACCTGTTAAGAACTTCTGCCCTTCTGCCTGAATAACAAATAACTAAGCTGTGATCTAGCCTGTACTCAAAAATTCCCTCCATTAAACTTTTTATTAAAAAAAGAAGTAGCAGGTCATTTTGTACAATACACAGAGCAACACACTTAAGTGACTTCAAATGATGGCAAAGAACACAAGCTCAAAGAACAAAGCTCAAAGCTCAGTCAAAGAACACAAGCTGTCGTTTTCCTTCCTACTAGCACATGCCTTTGAGGTGGAATCAAGCAAGACTTTTAAAACCATCACATTCTGTCAGTTGATTATATAATACCAATGACAAGAATCTTTTTGCCATTTTTCAAGAATATAATTGTGTCTTTGGGATAGACTGCCTTTTTGTGTCTTAATTTAGCCACTTCGGATTGGCTTTCTGCCCCATAAAGTAATGTACAACTTCCATTATCCTTTATTTAATAAAACATTTTAATGCTTGTCTTTGTTGCTATAGAAAAAAAGTTTCAAGCATGGCACATTTTTGTCACATTAGCAGTTTAAGAAACAAACACAGTAATAGTGGAATTCATCAGAAAAATTCCTAGTGTCGTAGCAAGAGGAGGCTGTAATGCAGTAAGCTGGCCACCGTAACCTTTAATCCTGCCCTGAGGAAAGGAGAGAGGGAAAAAACTGCTATTGAAAACAATACTTCTGTTCTAAATGCTGCTTTTTAGGCATGTTATGATTACTTGTGCTTTATTCCAATTGATTCAGTCTGGTCCTGTGTAGGATTTCAGAGCGTTACTTGCCTACATTGTCTTTTCAGGAGCATTGCATTCAATTTAAAAAAAACCCACAAACACCATAAAGGATCTCTATATGTAAATCAGTAGGAGCTTTGACTGTGATTTTGGTTCTGTTTCATGCATATAAGTATTTCTGCCCATCTATCTACAGTCAGTGATGAATGAGAACTGGAAAGCTGGTGGCTCTGACAGAAATTATCTCAGTCTGTCTGAAAGAGTGAAGGTGAGGTTTTCTTTGATTTTCTTCAAAGTGGGGATTATGAGTAGAAGATAACTGATTTTTGCTTTATTCATTTACAAAGTGCTTGCAATTTGTTGATGTATTTGTTTCTCATCTGTGGGAAAGAAGGATGAGAACATCACCATCCAAAATTTTCTTCAAATGTTAATGAGTCTGTACTTCTAAAGTGTAAAGGTTGTGTAAGTGATGATGAGCATGGTGTCAAATCAGGTCGAAAAAAATTATCTAAGAGATAATTTTATCTAAAAAATGATCTAATTGCTGCATGGAAACACAGAAGACTACCCAGTACGTATAATAAAACGCTCTTTGTACACAGGCTGGGAAAGGCCTTCCACTCTCATCCTATGCATCTATTCAGAGTGCTGCCTGAAATAAGAAAAGTCTTTTCTTGTGGTATGTTTTAGGTAGTTTAGACAGTTTTGAAGGGATGTCAGCCTGAAAAAGCAATAATGCAATGTCTCAGATGAAATAATAAAAAATTAATAATTGTTAGGTTTTTTTATTTCCCATTCAGTTCACTGTTAGTATCAAAACAGAAGGATCAAGCTCTACTTTGCCTGCAGAATGTATTGTCTCTGTGCCATATGCAGTGAGCTTGCAAAACTGCAGAGTAACTTACTGTGTGTCTTTTTCCTATGAAAAGATTTTTCTTCTCCATCTTTCCACTAAGTTCCTGAAAAAGTTGCTGTACAGCTTGAGCTTCTTTCCCATCACTGTAGTTGATATGCAGCAATTTTGGCAGCAATTCTTTGCCCATACTTAAAGTTATTTCCTTTGGGTTACATATTTCAAAGAAAATTCATATGTTTTCCTGGAAAAATTCAGGGGAGAACGGAGAAGATGAAGGAGACAATGTAATGCATTTCTGCTTTGCTCTAGATTGTACTATAAGAAATGGAATTAATAAATTTTAATAGATTTTCCAATCTGGGGTTTTTACAGCAGGTGGGCAACTTAAATTTGGAAGACATAGACACAGATGAAGAGACATGCAGTGGTAGGTTTCCCTTCCCTTCATATTCACTATCATTATCTGTCTTTGGATGCAAGTGTATGGATATTGTTTAAAGCACTATTTCTCCTCTAAAAAAGATGTTCTTCCTCAGTTCTTCTGTTGCTAGAATATTCCCCAAATTGTCCAAATTCCTCAAATTAAATAAAATGCATTTCCTTACTCTGAGGTAATGAGATAATAAATTATAAGGAATATTTATTATACTGTGTCCTAGTGAGGAGGGTTTTTTTTTTCCAAGATTTTTCAGAATTACAGAACACGTCATGTTAGCAAAGTTTCTACATTTTTCTGCACTTCTATTTTGTATTAAAATTATTTTGATTAAATAAATGTCTCCACAAAGTAACGTAAATGCTAAGAGAGAATTCTATAAAGTGGAAATATTTAATGAAAATGTTGTCACTACCTATTAAAACAATTTCATCCTGGGCTTGAAATAGATGAGACTAATTTTGAATTCACAGTGAACTTCTTTGAGAATTCCAGTTATGAGTATTTTGAGTTGTGTTGAACTGTTCTATACATCTATAATAATTTTAACTCTCCCACCTCTAAAAAGTAAATAGAAACCTAGTGTCCATAGTTATTTGTCTATCATAGGTGCTTGTGTGGTCTTTATTACCACCAGAATTGATGACCTTTTAGTGATTAAATATTTTTTCCTCATCTATATCTGTGACCACAAAGAAACCAAGCCACACAGATTCAGGGGTTTTCCTAAGGTCACTGAAAGAAGCTGGTACAAAGCAAGACTACGGTCCTCAGTTCCTTGGTTCTTGCCATTTGATTAGTCTGTGTAATCCATAAAGATTTGGGTAGTCTTTCCTTTCTGTATGTGCAGAATTCCTATGAAGTCAGAGGGCTTAGAGATTTCCAGTTGATGAATATTTAGAGCTTGGCTGTAACTCACAAGAAAATAATAAACCAACATAAATCAGGTTTACAGCAAATATTCTTTCTCCAAACTGGGCATTTCAGGAAGGAGGGGGTAAGATAGCAGTCCTGTATCAATCTTATATCAAAGAGTTCTTTTGAGTGCAGTGTTCATATGTGCCCATTTTTTCCCCTTGTAGCACATTGTTCTGGGTTTATGTCTTAAATTCTAGTAGTATCTATTAAAAAAACCTGGGGCTTGCTGGTGGAAGCCTAAACCCCCCAGTTCACTTGTATCATAATGAAATGAGAATTGTCTGTATTTAGCTCATGTAAGTATTGTTGGAGAGCTCTAGTTCAAAACAGGCCACAAATTGGATGATGAGAAGTCAGCCCAACACTACAATACCAAGCAGGGCAATGAGGAAAGAAGAGCTCTGCCAGAGCTTGGGGATAGCTCGCCACTTTCTGGACCGTGCCAGACCTTGCCTCTCTCCAGGCTTTTCAGTCATTTCTGTGTAGTTGTGTGTGTGCAAGAGTAAATGTTAATCACATACGTTTAGAAGCCCCCAGTAAAACAGACTGCATTTGAATAAGATGAGAATTACGAAAATGATCATCTGTTCGTACTGTCTGAACAGCACTTTCTGCAAGCCACATTGGGAAAACCTTTCAGTTAGTGCTTTTATTGGTGATTATGAAAACAATAAACATAACATTATACCACCACTACTGTAGATTATCAGTGTGCTAACTACTCGCTTTTTATGTGACATTTGATTTGGCTTTCAGTCTCTGCTCTCCTCGGATCTTCCCATGAGACGACGCTCCCTGCACAAACTCCCTGCACAGGCTGCCTCGGTGCAGAAAGAAGTCGTAGCAACCCCTAAGCAATCAACAGTGCTCGCTAACAACATTAAGCATTTAGATTGTATTTTATAACATTGAAACGCTGCATAGCCAGAAGCTAATTATTCCTTCTAAACTGTGTAAAAAAAGTGAACGGCATCCAAATTTATATCTGGGAAACCCACAGCCTGGGTCTTGCCTAGGGCTTCTTTGGTGGAGATAGTTGTTTAGTCAAGATGAAAAATCTCCCCTTGACTCCTAAGTACAGAAAATAGGACTTAGAGTTTGATAGTTGTCTTACATGTCAAACCCCACTTGATAGGCTTCATAATAAGAGAGGTATACTCTTACTCCTGTAGAAACTATAGCAACAAAATGCAAATTAAAATATAAAATGATGTTGCTTCTATTGTTTCTAATAATAAAGTAATACAAAATAATATCCCTATTGACAACCTTATTAAAGGATAAATTCTGAAGTGAGACCCCACCTGCAGTACTGTGTTCAGCTCTGGAGTCCGACATGGAGCTGTTGGAGCGAGTCCAGAGGAGGCCATGAAGATGATCCGAGGGCTGGAGCACCTCTGCTATGGAGACAGGCTGAGAGAGTTGGGGCTGTTTAGCCTGGAGAAGAGAAGGCTCCAGGGAGACCTTATTGCAGCCTTCCAGTGCTTAAAGGGGGCCTACAGGAAAGCTGGAGAGGGTCTTTTTACACGGGCGTGTAGTGATAAGACAAGGGGCAATGGCTTTAAACTGAAAGAGGGAAGATTTAGATTGGATATAAGGAATAAATTTTTTTCAATGAGGGTGGTGAGGCACTGTTTGCCCAGAGAAGTTGTGGCTGCCCCATCCCTGGAAGTGTTCAAGGCCAGGTTGGATGAGGCTTTGAACAATCTGATCTAGGGAAAGGTGTCCCTGCCCATGGCAGGGGGCTTGGAACTAGATGATCTATGAGGTCCCTTCCAACCCAAACCATTCCATGATTCTATAATTCTATAAGAATTCCAGTTAGTTTCTAAGTGAGGCAAAGCATGACAGAAATTTGAAAGACATTCTGTTGCTGGTCTTTTTAAATGCTGCCTCCTGTATGTATGTCAGAACAAATGACAGATTTAAGACTTCATATTGGCAAAACAAGCTAGGACATCCAGTGAAAAACGTCATACCTTGCTAGTATAATTCCAACAAGCTTTTATCTCTGCTTGTTTTTGGCAACAGTTCAGTATCTCCATACTTCATTTAGCTTTAAAAGGCAGATCAGTTAGCCGAGTTAGCAACTGTACATCAATACAATAAATATTCACACTTAAGGGGAAGTGGCTCAAACTTGACAGTGTGAAAAGCATGATAGAAAATAGGTGTTAAAACATCCCATCTAAACCAATGCTTTTTGGAAGGTGTCCTGGAAGAATCATTCTAATGACTTTTTTTCTCTTTTTTTTTTCAACTTACTTTTCTAAGTCCTGTGTCTTTTAAGGTGTGAATGAATACGGCTGCTTCTTACAAAACAAAAAGAAGCCCATAGATTTGGCCAGCATGCAGATGCATTGTAGCTGGTTTCATTAGACAGCACTGGGCTGAAAGCCTGAAACCAGGGCAGTGCTTTGCATTGTGCAACTTTGGCACAGTAAACCAGGATGGGCAAGGTAAAATTGCTGCCCTAAACCATAGCTTAAATGCATCATGTGGAGACAGCATGTGTGTGGTGGACTGTTTAATCACTCTCACTGAATTTAATCTGTAAGTAGTTTAAGACAACAATAGAGATGATCAGGCTTTCTCCAGGGATGAATGGAGAATGCCCAGTACCTATGTTTTGGCAAGAGAATTCCTTTCCAGTACTGGTGACAAATCACTTGCTGCAGGGCTTGAAGGATAGATAGGTAATAATAGGTAGGTCATATTTGTATAAAGTACAAAATATGTCAAAAGCATGTCTAGAGACCTTGACTGTGCTATTTTTAAAATACAAGAGAAAATTAAAAAAGGACTAATTAAATGTATGGGTGAGGCTGCATAGGCAAGGATACCAGCATCTCATCCTAATCTGGCCTGGAGCCCTGAGGTACTGTAAATTTGTCTTTTCAAAGTCACAGTTCTCTGTAACCCCACAGAGGTTGAGGAGAACCCAAGTGACTCAGTTGCTTTGAAGCTGAGGCCAAGCATAACCATTTGATTTTTTAAATAATTCTTTAGGCAGATTGTATCGATATCTGTTATTTTCCATAATCTATGCCTTTCCCTTTGTATTTTGAGCCTATCTTTACATCCAGAAAAATTGGGTTGAGGAAGAGGATTCAGAGTGAAATTATGTGGATTTTTTCAAGTATGGGGCTCCCCTCAGCTGGTGAATCTCTTTCTTTTTTTCTCCTCCACTCTCTGCAATCCATTTAATACTGCCTCGAGGTGATTTCACACTAGGCAGCTCTTCAGGGCTAACAGCCTGAAGCCTGAGAATCAGAGGAGACAGCAAAGTTTAGCTTTTAAGCTTTCTTCGTTATCACTACCTCCCTCCTCAGCTCCCCATCAACAGCATTTTTGGGACATGTAGTATCTGAAAGTGGTAAAATCTGTGTTAGTGCATCTGTAGCTGAGCATCATTTGGCTACAGTAAAGCTAAAGGTTTAGACAAGACTGAACTTCTTCACTCGTAAAAGTTTAAGTCAGGTTTATGCCAATAGGTTCTTTTTTCCTCTATTTATAATTAACATCAATGGTCCATGAGCAAAAAACCCCGACTCGGCAGTGTTCACAGATTTAGTAATCCCTTTCTGTG